TTCAGTGTGGGTTTTACCACTAGAGCAATTTTTATGATGCCAAATGGAGTGGTTTGCGCAGCAGTTACAGGGTTTTTTTAATCCCCACTAGAGGGTATGTTTATTGGTTTCAGAGAGAGAAATGTAGATGTGAGAGAAACATCAATTGGTTGCCTCTGGTACACCCCTGACTGGGGATCGAACTCACAACCTGTGTACACTGACTAGGAATTGAACCCAGAGCCCTTTTGGTGCACGGGGTGATGCTCCAACCAACTGAGCCACCTGGCCAGGGCAGTTATGCTTCTATTTTAATATCCATGCTGAAATATCAAATTAGAAAGGCATTTTTTTAGTAACTTTCTTGTATTTGATGTGGATTCCTTGAAACAGCCCACGTCTCCCAGGATGAGCTAATTAGTCTGTTCTATGCAGAGTCCCACAGGATGAGGGGCAAAAAAAAAAAAAAACACCAAAAAAACACTGCAAAGACGTGTTTACCACTGAACTTTTTTAAGTAACATATTTTATTTCACCTGGTTTTAAAGCTCAACTTCATTTTCCCAGCTTTACTGCAGCATAACTGAAGTACAAAATACTGCACATAACTAATGTATTCAATTTGGTGAGCTTGGACGTAGGAATTAAGAGTTGTAGACACCTGCCTCTGTAAATTCCAAAATAAAAGTCAGTTGGTCCATCAGCATGAGAACTAGTATTGACTCACTACCTCTCGTGTGCCCCGAACTTCCAAGGATCTGTAGACATATTACTACTGCATGCAGACAGCCGAAAATGGAGGGTGTGGACAGTGACTTTGGTCACAGGATTCTTGGGATGATTCTAAAATACAAAAGACATCCACGGGGCTCTCCAAGACTGTCCCTTGTAACAGGCGGTGGTGCAATAATTGTTTTGTAAGAATTCTCTCATTTAATACTCAGAGCAAACTGGGATTATTATTACCAGTGTACTAGCACTATTACTTATTCCTATTGCTTTCAGAATTCGAACCCTTGATGCCTGAAGTTAGATACTCGCCTTCAATCCCCTCTCCCACTAGCTCACTCCCCAAACCCACAGACACACCTAAGCACTGGGCCATTAGCAGCTGTGTGTGCTGGAGGAAACTGCCATGAGATAATGTGTGTCCTTTGAATACAGACCTACCAGCCATGTGGGGCTCCGCCCAGCAGGCCTCAGCCCTTTGGGATAAAAGATTCTTCTTTTCTGTCTGTCCCTAGAATCCACTTCTGAGCTAGGCTCCTGCTTCTCAGGCTGTTGTTAGGCTGTCTGGAATGTGTCACTGTTGCATTGCTGTAAAGCACCTCCCACATTGTCCCTCTGCTCTCTGGGACCAGGGGGTGAGCACTGCCTGCTCAAGTGGGATGCTGCCTCCCTTCCTTCGACTCGAACCCACAAATGCTGACCAGCCAGAATTCCTGCACAGCCCTGCAGACTGCTGTGGGTGCACAAGTTTGTCACAGTAAAAGTCCCAGCCCTTGAAGCACACAGTGCTTTGGGTGGGGTAGAATAAACTGAGAGAAATGGCCAGATGTGTATGCTCAGAGACTGCATGAACACATCAGTGCTGGGGGTGTGGGGGAAACAGGACAGGAAAATGGACTATGACGGAGAAAGTTCTTTGAGATTATAATTTGACTGGGATGGGAAATATTTGCTTATTTCTCCCAAGATGCACCACCTGGTATTTCCAGTTATTCAATCTCACATGCTATCTATAATCAGAAGATACGATTTTATTTTTTTTTAAGATTATTTATTTATTTGTAGACAGAGGGGAAGGGAGAGAGGGAGAGAAACATCTGTGTATGCTTGCCTCTTGCATGTGCCCCATTGGGGACCTGGCCAGCAACCCAGGCATGTGTCCTGAGAATTGAAACAGCGGCCCTTTGGTTCGCAGGCCAGTGCTCAATCCACTGAGCCACACTGGCCAGGGCAGAAGATAGGGTTTGAGTTTCTGATAGTGCACGTGCAATTTTGTCACATGCACTATGAAACTAGATGGTACGGTTCACTGTGAGACGGTGGGACGTGAACTTGATTGGGAAGCACAGGGGTGGAGACTGGGAAGCAAGCAGTGGCTGGTGACAGCATCACAGCCTTGGGCAGGTTAGGGGATCTCTGTTCCCTCCTGTTTGAGGAAATAAGATGGTCAAACACTACCTGGAACTTCACTGTCTAGTACAGTAGCTACTAGTCATGGGTGGCTATTTAAATTAACTCTGAAATTTTTTTAAAAAATTCAGCCCTGGATGGTGCGGCTCAGTGGGTAGACTACTGGCCTGTGAGCCAAAGGGTTGCCGCTTTGATTCCCAGTCAGGGCATACGCCTGGGTTGCAGGCTGGGTCTCCAGTAGGGGGGTGCACAAGGGGCAACCACACTGATGTTTATCTCCCTCTCGCTTCTTCCCCTCTGCCTAAAAAGAAAATAAAACGTTTTTAAAAATACAAATTCAGTTCCTAAGTCACTCGAGCTACATTTCAATTGCTCAAAATCCACATGGAGTTAATGTCCATTGCACTAAAAATCATATATACACAATCATCATAGAACTGCTGGTTTATTAAAAAATGGATCAGATATCATTTACACAGTGCTGGGAACATATTACTATTAAACAAGTCATAGGTTTATATTCAGGATTCTTATGTTTGTGAATCTATGAAAAACCTGTGCTCTAAATCTTTCTTCTGCAAAACACTTAGGGGTTGTCAGAGGAAGATCCATGAACCAATGTATTTAGGAGAGGTAGGAGAACACAAGTGAGTCAGACCTTGGGAGACGGCCGTCTCCAATACTAAGTTCCATGACGACAGAAAGAAGGAAAATTCCTACATCTGTGGTGGGAAAGTCCTTCATGAGCAAAAGTGATTTCAAGTTTCACCACTTAAATTAGTTTAATTCCTCAGATGGGTATCTTTTCATGTTGGTGTAAATGCTACGAATTTTAAATATTTTTGTGTCATTGATTATACCTTTGTCATATTACAATGTATGGAAACACAACTGACCTTGTATATTGAACTCCCATCTGATGTCCTTGCTAAATGGATTTATTAAACCTAATATTTTTACCAATACGGTATTTTCATTTTTGCTCTCTTTCATTAAAAATTCATTTCCAATTTTAACATCTTTTCTTTGCCTGCCTTTTTGTACTAAAAACGACTTGCAATAATAAATACAGGACTTTTTGCCTTACTATTTTTTTTCAGGCAGAAAGCTTTAAAAGCTTCCATTTAAAGAATTGTTTTTAACTACAGATGAATTTATCCAACAGATCAATATGTATGTTTCTTATTTCTGCTCCTGTCATTTTTATTAATAAATGTATTTCTAGAAATATGACCATTTCATATAAAATTTAAGGTTTAATAGTCTAACCTCATTCCTGATGTTCTTTTATGATTTTTAATGTGTCATTAATGTAGCGATGACACCACTTTTTAAATTTCTGATCCTGGTTATTTGTGCCTTATTCATTTTTCTTGATAAATTTCACCAGAAATTTCAATAATCATTTCAAAGGATTTTGTCTGATTCAATCCCCTTACTTCACGTTTGTTTTCCTTTAATTAATTTCCTAACTTTATTATTTGCTTCAATCTGATTTATGTGCTATATCCAGACTTTCTCTCATTTTAAAATATAAATTTAGGATATAAAATTCATTCTAAAAAGCTTGTTTTTAGCAAACAACATTCTGTACTATATAAAATGAAGATACATCATACCAGATATCTTCTTGGAAAAATGGTAAGTTCAATCTTTAAAAATCTATCAGTGCAAATAATCACATTAAGAGAATAAAGAGAAAACACACGATAATATCTCAAAAATATTCAGAAAACTACCTGGTAAAATTCAGGATATATTCATGATCATTACCCTTAACAAAGTAGACATATAAAATATTTTTTACTAAACTTATTAAATGTATCTACAAAATGACGAAAAGCTCGCAGGTGGAAATTAAAAAGCACCACTTGTGAGCTGATGGTAGCGAATATGCTGTGAAAGGCCGTCCTACCACAATGCAGCACAAACCCCGGTGGAAAGAAAGCAAGGGAAACAAAGGGGAGCCACGACTTAAACCAGCAAGAGAAAAATAAAAGCCTGGGTCACACAGAGAACAGTGGCTTATTAAGTCAGCATCAGGAACGAAAGAAGCCTGCAGCTTTTGCATAATGGAGAAAGGGGACTATCAGAAATCCCAATAAATTGAGACGCCAGAAAGGCACAAAAAATGGACTCAGATCAAAGGTTCTCCCTGCTCATGCCTCGTTGACCAAAAGCATTCTCAACGGAAGCCCCTATGAATTTCCAGAAAATAAAGACCAGAACGAATTTTGTCAATAAAACGAAATGATTAAAGGTTCCGTCAGTGACAGTCATGGGGCAAAAAAAAATAAAAAATAAAAAGCCCCACAGACATAATATGAACAGTAAAGTAATTCATAAAATTCACGTGAAATGTTTCAGAAACAAGGTGCACTTTTCAACATCGGAGGGAGAAACGATGGTTATGATTCAATGATTTTTAAAACAGACAAATATATCCGAACGAACAATCAAATGCAATGTGTCTGCGTGAATAGCAGAGGAGATTAAATTAAAACCTCAAAAAGTGATGATTACATCCTCCGGACGAGCCCACGTGCAGCGCGGCTGCGGCGGCAGAGGCCAGGAGACAGGCGACAGGCAGGGAGTCCGCCTGCCGGGAACAAAGGAGGCACGAGGTCTGTGTTCCCGCGATACGATTTTTCAGTTCGCGCGGACCGGGTTGGAAACTGTCGGTGCACCCACCGGAAGTGTCCGGCTTGGCTGCCGGGAGGAGAAAGAGGTAGGAACCAATAGTAACAGGAAGTGGGGGTAACACGGAACGAAAAAAAGTGAGCACCTCCCAGTAAAGAGCACCGTGCCGGCTCCTGGCCTCGAGCCCGAAAAGAAGCGATACTGGGGCGGTTCTGGCGCCGTTTTGGGGGGTAAAAGGTGCAATGGAAGAGCCTGCAGCTCCCGAAGAACCCCAGGAAGCAGCCGGTGCCGCAGGAGGTGCCCAGGAAGCAGGTGAGGGTGCTCCGAGGCCCAGCCACCGGACACGCCCGGTTACCCGGCATCCCACGGCTGCAGGCCCGGCCCCCTTCCGCACGGCACGTCTCAGGCCTGCCTATGCTTCCGGGGGCGGGGCTGTGCCCAGGTTTCTGCCCGGCCCGCGCCGCAGTGGCAGCTGGACAAAGCAAGTCGTCTGCAGGTATTATCTGCATGGGCTGTGCAAGGAGGGGGAGAACTGTCGCTACTCCCACGACCTTTCGGGCCGGCAGGAGGCCAGGGAGGGCCGCGGGTCGCCGCCTGGGGCCTCCGCAGAGCCAGGCCCCAGCGCGGCTGCGCAGGACGAGCCCCTGCCTCAGGAAGTGGCGTGCGCCCCTCCTGCGTCCTCACGCTCCTTGCCTGCGATTGGCTCGGCTGCTGAAGGGGGCTTCTTTGAAGCCGAGAGCGAAGGCGCAGGCCTGGAAGCTGCGCAGGGAGCGGGTGCGGAAGGCTGGGCGGGCGCGGCGGCGGCGGCGGCAAGCTGGGCGGATGCCGTTGAGTTTGTTCCCGGGCAGCCTTACCGGGGCCGGGGAACCGTTTTTGCCCCCGAAGCTGCTCCGCAGAGCTCGGTGCCTGAGTGGGAGTACGTTGCTCTGGGCACGGGGACGCAGCTTTGCCGCGATGCTGCCATGGGGCAGTGCTTTCGTGGGGAGAGCTGTGCGTATCTCCACGGAGAGATATGCGACTTGTGTGGGCGGCAGGTCTTGCACCCGATGGATGCTGACCAGCGGGCAGACCACATAAGAGCCTGCATTGAAATGCACGAAAGAGATATGGAACACTCGTTTGCCGTGCAGCGCAGCAAGGACAAAGTGTGTGGCATCTGCATGGAGGTTATCTATGAGAAAGCCAACCCCAATGACTGCCGCTTTGGCATCCTCTCCAACTGCAACCACTCCTTCTGTCTTAAGTGCATCCGCAGGTGGAGGACTGCCAGAGAGTTTAGGAACAGGCTTATCAAATCCTGCCCGGAGTGCAGGGTCACCTCCAACCTTGTCATTCCCAGTGAGTTCTGGGTGGAGGAGGAACAAGAGAAGGAGGAACTTATTCGGAAGTACAAGGCGACCCTGAGAACCAAGACCTGCAGGTATCATATTCCAGGCAGGGGTTGCTGTCCCTTTGGAGCGACCTGTCTTTACAAGCATGCAGATCCTGAGGGCCAGGGAGAGGAGGAGGAGGAGGAGGAGGAGGAGCCTGAGAGGCAGGGGAATGGGGCAGCCGGCGGTCACCCCAGGAGACCTTCGGAGCCTGAGCAGGTGGGAGAGGGCCGCATGCTCTTTCAAAGCAGTAAAAAAGAGCTTGTCATGCTTTGGCTGGCCAGTCTGTTGTTGTTTAAGTGTTTTTTTTCACTGGGAGATAAGGAGCTTTCCTCAGACACCCAAGTGGGACTTGCTCCATGGGGCGCTGGGAAAATATACCCGCTTGAGTCTGTGGCATTTCGCTGTGGCATGTGGTGTAGTGTGCTGAGGCTCTGTCATCGGCCGTTGCCTGTTCCCTGTTTATAGACACATCTACCATGTACGGCAGCTGTCGGAGCCATTTCTATAGATCATCCATCCGTTTTCTTGCCCATCCCCATTTCTCTCCCCCTAGGAGTGTGGTGTGTCACAAAAGTCACAAAACGTTTTTAAAGTTGTTGTTTGGTGAAATGCATCATTGCTGTCAGTTTATGGTTTATTTTGTCATCTCTGTTTTCAACAGGATTGACTCAGTTCTAGTCTAGTGTTTACAGGATTTCCACACTCATTTTGAAGCCCCTCAAGAGTAAATGGGACAGGGTGAAGGGAGAAGTCTTAACTGAACGAGGAAGTTTTTGCTGCTACAGCTTTAAGAAATGGACCCTCGGGGGGCCTTGTGCGTGCAGCTGCTCGTCTCCGCTGTTTACATGTCTGTTCCTTCCCCGATTCCTTTCAAGTGCACTTTTTAACTTGTGGTGACCTCGTGCGTTTGTGTTTTACTTGACCAGAACCAGGTGTATATGTTTACATGTTTTCATCCTGCTTAACTTGATGTGAAATTATATGTGGAAGTATATATTTAAGAATTATATATAAGCATATATGCGTATCAGTGAGTATAAAAGTTATTTATCTGAAAACATATATAAAGGACGTATATATCTCGTAATGCAGTGTACTGTGTGTGTAATCAAATAAATACAGAACTGGATGCTAAAGGTCAAAGGCTGGCAGCATTCACTTTTGTGTGAGTGTGAGATGAATGGATAATTCGTCGGTTCCTTTCCCAGGCTACCGGGATTTGCCTTTAATGAAAAAGGGTGTTCAAGTGGATCTGGCCAAATATGGCACAGACCTTAAAGGGCTTACCAAGTAGGACACTGGCGATTTCCCTGACGGCATTAACAGCTCACCCTGCTGTTGTAAGTGCAGAAGTGTGTGTGTGTGTGTGTGTGTGTGTGTGTGTGTGTGGGGGGGCCCACAGCATGATTCCGGGCTCCATGCCTTGCATTCGGTATTCTCAGTCATCGCTAGACCATCCACACAATGGGCTTTTGACAAGAGTTTTCTGCATGGACGTGAAAAGATCATGAAAGAAAAATAAAAATGTTGAAACTAGTCAGAATACAAGGATGGAAAGGCAAAAGCCTGAAACCTAGAAAGAACTGAAAACTAAACACAGTAGCGATGCAGAAAAGTTTATAACACAAACAAACACACCATAACTAGGTTAAGTACAAGGGATTTAAAATAGCAGTGAAATATTTTTCAGTCTTGATGATAATTAAAATGAAATTATATGCTATTTAAAATACACATCTGAAATACCAGAATACAGAAACACTAAGAGTGATAATATGGAAAAATTAATCAGGCAGGTTCTATGACTTCTCAGTAGAATGCATATGCAGGGTAAATGCATTGTCAGATAAATAGGATGACACATAAACATTAAGTTGTAATTTACCAGGAAGATAAAGCTATTCCAGTTTTGTATTTTGTTCACTTAGCATCAGATATACAAATAAATAATTGATAAGTATAGAAAATACAAAACCCGAGTGACAGATTTTAATACATCTTTTGTATAATGGAACAAGGAAAGAATGTGAGCTAAACAGCCCAGTTTTAACAGTTTCATGGGCCTGTATGAAATGCTGTGTGAATTCATTGAAGAGTGCTCTTCTCTGGGCTAAGATAGCTGAAAATACATTGGAGGCCTGCTGACTGTCTAACAGTGTATTTGCAGAGTTTCTACCCTGTACTGAGCACTCTGCAAAGCACGAATTTAATTTTTAGAACCAGCTAACTATAATTTCCCGTGTAATCCTGATGAGGTACATAAGTAGAGAGGTTAAATTACTTGCCGGTATCGCTGTGGCCTATGGATATAAATCAGTGGGACAGTGAATGGAACTCGGTATGTGTTTAGGTCACAGTCACGGTGGTCCCACATATACACGCTCAGCAGAGGGGTGGACACAACCAGCTCCTACAGAGTGTGGGAGCCTCGGGGCATTATCGGTTGGCTGTCAGGCTCAGTGTTTCTGGGTCCCCTTCTCAGGATATGCCTCGGCCTCTCCTATTTTGTACACTGCCTCCCCTCGCTACCTGATTCCTGATTCTACGTGGAAGGATCTCCTCCTGCTTTCATTGGGGTCATTGCCATAGTCCTTCCCTCCTGATTCCTCTTATTCAAAGAGTTCATCCATCAGGAGGGCCTGGATGCCTCCAGACATACATCTACCTCCAAGGTCATCCCAAAAACACAGGGTCAGGAGAGCTTACATGACCAAACCACCCAAGAACAGGACAAGGTGGGGCCACTCAAGATGCACTGACACTAAAGGCTCAGTGAGCTCCCAGTGCTGGCTAAGCTGTCAAAGAGGGATTTTTTTTTTTAGATTTTATTTATTTTTAGAGAGAAGGGAAGGGAGGGAGAAAGAGAGGGAGAGAAACATCAATGTGTGGTTGCCTCTCATGTGGCTCCCACTGGGGACCTGGCCTGCAACCCAGGCATGTGCCTTGAGTGGGAATCGAACCAGTGACCCTTTGGTTCACAGCTGGTGCCTCATCCACTGAGCTATGCCAGCCAGGGCCAAAGAGGGATTTTTAAGCTGCACATGGGAGGCTCTGAACACCGTCCTGACATGCACTACCTAATGTACAATGGCACAGTTCAATTCAAATAGGATTTTGCGCCAGACAGTGGTGATAAAGTTCAGGGGACTCAGTGAGATGAGGGTTAGTAAAGGAGATAAAACATTTGGGCAACGGGAAAAGGGTAGTTTGAATCCTGCCTCAGCCCCTTACCAGCCATGCATTCCAGAGCAAGTTAGTTTAATTTTCCACACTTCAGTTTCTTTATGTGAGAAATGGGTACAACAGCACATACTTTGCAGGGCTGTTGTGAACATCAGGTATAATTGGGCAAGGAGCGTGAGTCACGTGGTATTTTTTAAATGGCAGCGATAAACGTGAGATTGATGTGTGTTTGTGGACCTGAACAGAGCTTACACAAGAATTAATACTCAATTTTTCTCTTTGGGAATCTTTGCAACTTGAAGGAAGGTAGTATTATTTTTTTTTTCATTAAAAGGGGGCTCATAACCTTTATAGTCATAATTTCAAAGAGACCAAGTATTTTTTTTTTCCCAGCAAAAGTTATTCAGGTAAAACTGAAAATGCTCTTCTAATCGTGGAGATATAAACAATAGAAATGTATTATTTGGGATGGATGCCTGCCTGAGTAAAATAAGAAATAAGGTGAAACTTAAAAATAGGATATACCCTATCCCTCATCAGCTCATTCAGAAAGAGGTCGGATAACCGGGAAGTCACCGAGAAAGAACTGGGAAATGCGTCCGCAGTGCCGGCGGTGAAGACCCCCGCTCCGCTCGGCAGCGGCAGCCCTGTTGGAGCGGGGAACAAAGGAGCGCTCGCTCCGCACACAAAGGCCGGGTCTGCGGGCGATATGCACCCTGTGTGTGCGGCCCCTCCCCCACAGGGACCCCGGACTCGGTCCGGGGTCTGTCCGGAAGGTTTGATTCCAGCCTCGCGAAAAAGCAAGTCTGCTCTGCCCGCCTTTCGTGTGTCTGAAGTTGGCGGGTGTACAGACTTGCAAAGATGCTAACACTTCACCCGGTGCCCCTTTCCCCTCTGAGATGATTGTCCCCCGTCACTGAATCCGTTTGCCGAACTTCCGCGGCATAAAAGGGGAAACGTTTCCAGTTCGTAATCGATGCCCATAAGCTGCTCTGTTTTGCACTGTTTGTAAACAGCTTGTGGGGATGGTCCATTTCCACAGCGGATGCCGAACCACAGTCTCGGCGTGGAATAGGTTTGGGCGTGGGTGGCAAAAGGGGTATTTGGAAAATGACCCAGCGCTAGTGCAGAAAAAGTGAATTAGTACTGGTCAGAATTTTTGCCGTGAAAATATACAGCATGTCACATCCAGTATCGAATGGGCACTAATAAAAAATAATGGTATTGGATCACAATGGAACTGTCAAATAAATTGAGAAATTAATGAGTCGTATAGGTAACATTCTCTGATGTCAGTGCGAGAAAATAAGCCACTCGCACGTGAAAATTTCTTTAAGTGTCTCAAAAATAATTTGAGGGAAGAGTGAATCCAAATCATTTAGCAGGACAGAGTAATTTAAAATTATACATACCATGCTCTATAGGGTAGTACTGAATCTGTGCTCAAAGTAAAGCTAATTTTAAACACTAATATAATATACACTGTAGAGAAAGGCAAATTGCATAATAAAATAGGTAACCAAATCTGTAAACTTTAAAGAAACAACATACATGCAAACATAACACACATAATCAGAAATAATTAAGAAAGATTAAAGCAAAAATTACTGGGTTAGAAAATGGGAAAAGAAAAACTGCTTCTTTGGAAAACAATCAATAAACATAAATTGTGAAGTTGATCAAAACTTAAAGGAGAAAGCTTACAGTCTGTAAGGAAGAAATAGGGCCTCCTTTTGAGTGTGGGCGGCAGTCCTGAGAGTTCACACAGGATGCACAGGTGTCTGGCGGTTGGCTCCCTCTTTTCAGACAGCCGCCTGGAAGCGGATTCGAAGCTCCAGCACACAGTCAGCCAACACACCGTCAGCGTTGCGAGTGGTCTGTTGTCAGCCAGCCCACTGCCGTGAGCTCCGGTCACGGAGCCGTCTCGCTCTCATGGTCCGTCTCTCATGGTCCGGTCCATCTCGCTCTCATGCCCCAGCCCCTGTCATTTAATTCTGGACATCTCAGAACTTTTCTCCTTTGACCTTCCTCCATTTCCCTCCTCCCCCCAACTTGCCCCCCGGAAGCCACCGATGTGTTGTCTATTTCTGTGAGTTTTGGTTTTGTAGATTGCATGTATGAATGAGATCATGCGGTGCTTGCCTCTCTCTAACGTATTTCACTTGGTGTAAGGCCTCAAGGGTCATTCATGGCTTTACAAATTGCAGGGGAGCCCCGCATTTTTTATGGCTTAATACTGTTTCA